GAGCTGACTGTGGAACAAACCATCAACTGCTCATATGCACGTTCAAGTTGAAGTTAAAGAAAATTAAAACAAGTCCACACAAGCCAAAATATTACCTCGATAATTGTTATTGTTATGTGCCATTGAGTCAGACCCAACTCATAGCCACCCCTCCTTGGGTTTCCAAGGCAGTATCACTATGGAAGTAGATTGCCCAACCCTCCTCCCAAGGAGTGGCTGGTGGGTTTGAACCACTAGTCTCCTGGTTAGCAGTCAAGTGCCTTAGGTACTGTGCTACCAGAGCTCCCAACATAGATAATATCCCTCCTGAATTTAGAGACCATTTAAAGAATAGATTTGATGCACTAAACACCAATGACTGAAAACCAAAGGAACTATGGGATGACATAAAGAACGTCATTCATGAAGAAAGCAAGAGGTCATTAAAAAGACAAGAAAGGAAGAAAAGACCAAAATGGATGTCAGAAGAGACTCTGAAACTTTCCCTTGAGCAGAGAGTAGATAAAGCAAAAGGAAGAAATAAAAGATAAAAGAACTGAACAGAAGATTTCAAAGATCAGCTTGAGCAGACATAGCGAATTACTATAATGAAATGTGCAAAGATCTAGAGTTAGAAAACCAAAAGGGAAGAACACGTTAGACATTTCTCAAGCTGAAAGAACTAAGGAAAAAATTTAAGCCTTGAGTTGCTATATTGAAAGATTCTATTGGCAATATATGAATGATTCAGGAAGTATCAAAAGAAGATGGAAGGCATACACAGAGTCACTGTACCAAAAAGAACTGGTCAGTGTTCAGGAGGTGGCATATGATCAAGAACCAATGGTACTGATGGAAGAAGTCGAAGGTGCACTGAAGGAATTCGCAAAGAGCAAGGCCCCAGGAATTGACGGAATACCCATTGAGATGTTTCAACAATGGATGCCCCACTGGAGGCACTCACTCAGTTATGCCAGGAGATTTGGAAGACAGCTACCTGGCCAACTGACTGGAAGAGATCTTCATTTGCTAATGTGGCACAACTCAAAATGAGAACAGCTGCAAATATCCATTAATAATCAGAATGCAGAATGTACCAAGTATGAATCTAGGAAAACTGGAAGTCATCAAAAATTAAATGGAACACATAAAGATTGATATCTTGGGCTTTAGCTGAAATGGACTGGCATTGGCTATTTTGAATTGGAGAAACATGTGGTCTGCTATGCTGGGAATGACAAATTGAAGAGGAATGGCATTGCATTCATCATCAGAAAGAATATTTCAAGATCTATCCAGAAGTACAGTGGTTTCTATGATAGGATCATATCCATGGACCTAGAAAGAAGACCAGTTAATAGAACTCTTATTAAGTAATTATTCTACCTAGAATTGAATTCACTCCTGTGGCTTCCAGCCAAACAACAGACAGGCATGTAAGTGAACATTTACACCAGGTAGGTACACTCCCTAGGACAGTCAACCATGGGAAATCAGAAGGGCAGCATTTGCCTTGAGAGATAGCTCAGGGGGCAGGAATGCATAAGAAAGGAGGACACCGCGCAAAGGTAACCAAAGGGAGGAAGAGGGAAGGGAGCTGTTGCATTATGGGGATTGTGATCAATGTCATGAAACAAAATGTGTATGGACTGTTGTGTGGAAAATGAATTTGTTCTGTAAACTTTCAGCCCACTCACAATAATACATA